GTTAATGGTTGCAGAAACTAAAACTGAACCGCCATTGCTTATCCGAGTTCTTACAAGGCTCGTGCAGTGCGGCGTCCGAACACCGATAGCCATTTTCATTCTACTCTCTCAGTCTCTGCACTGGCCAAACTGCTGTGGCATACACTCAACCCGTTACAGGCGATCGAGTATCACAACGGCACCATGGATGTCTCCAGTCGGCAAATGCCAATGGACCCTTCCGTGAACGTGCAGATGTACTTCACATTCGCCCGAGGACAAGTATGGTACCAACGCAAGAGCAATGATTTTATTGCTCGGAATGGGTATGGATTACCGAAATGAAATTAGGGAAAACAGCAATGAGAACCAATGTATGGACAACTCTTTTGTTAGATTCACGCCACGCGTTCCGACGCTTTGTCCAATATGATTAACGGGGTTTCGTCGAACAAGACAAGTCGTGATCGCACCACTGACTTCTATTCGAAGCCATATCCCCTAGCGTCTAGTCATCGGAAGTCATCCTTTAGGCCCCTACCTTGTAGGTGGGTTATACCAACCGAAGCCATTGCTGAGGCTTACTTCATTACACCTCTACGCCAGNGCCAGGTCAAGGTTTGATCACCACGGCCCTTTTTCCATCCTTGCCCAGCACGCACTGAGAGGCAGACGACGGGCAGGCATAGGCCAAACCGTAGCCATCGTAGTTGGTGCAGAGCGGTTACTTCTTTCAGAGCACTGCTATCATTAAATCGCACACGGCGACGAATTTCATCATTGTTCGCCTGATGCTTTCACTAGACCAAAACAATGGGTCGGAGAATCGGTGGCTGAATACAGTCGATTAGCGTCATCAGAACAGAGGCCAGTGCTCTGGCAACCGTAAAGNCGAACAAAGGTCGTACCATCGGGTTAAGCAGAGTTGAATGATACTAGGCGCCTCCCCGGGTTGTGGGTAGGATGATACCTTCACCGAAGAAGGTTAACCGTAAATAAGTTATGGCATAACGCAACAAATGAGCAGTCACGAACAAACAGCGGCTACACTACCAGGGTGTGGTGGGCTTCAGGCTGGTCACCCGGCTCCTGTTTAAAGCCCAATGACGGTGTTGTGACAACGGTCATGTGATTGGCCTTTTAAAACTAAAGTCATTGACCCCCTCACTTCCGAGGCGAGGGGTTACTTCCTGCTGCCATGCAGTTCGCATTGGGTTGTGCAAAGGCTTGGGGTGCACCCTCAAAATAAAAAAAGCCATGACGCTGGGGACATCTCGTACCAAACTCCCAAGGAACTTTGTAATCATGTCTGAAGCCGGTTTTTCCTTTCCAAGGAGCCAGCCGGTATAAAGCAAAAGTAAAGTGTGGCGATGTATCCCTTTCCTTTAGAGGGTCTCATACTGGTTGGGGTTGTCTCGGGTTGCAGCTTCTCACCCCTCGCATCTCGCGAAATGTCCCCATACGGTCAAGCGTCTCAACCAGCCCCTACTTAGGAAGTCGTACTGGCGGCTTTCTCGTGGCAGAGGTGTTTTCCCATCACAGTGGGAAGACGAAAAGCCAACATCCGAATCGGTGGACCACTGGCAGTTCACCTTGAGGGAGTTGGCTAAAACCCCTGACTCTAACCCACCCGGAAGAGGCTTATGAACCACTCACATTCCTGGTCGTGGTGGTGGTCGTCGGCTCGTTTGTCTGTCGAGGTGTATTGCTCACCTAGGACGTCTGACCCCGTCCGAAGTGCGTATGATCTGCTGGATTGAACACCTACCCGCAATGGATTGCGGTTTTTGCACACCGCCTCGCTATCTTGCTGTTCAGACTTTAGCTCGCCGAAGACTTCGGTTGTTAATTCCTTAGGAAAATTCACCTGTTTTGTCCTGGGCAACCTATCATTGGCATGCACTGGAGCAAATCATGGACTTTTTCCTTTTATAAGGATTATCGGAGTGGGATTTGTTTGGCACAGTCTAGACTCAGACGTGTGAAAATAGATTCCAAAAGGAAAGTTGAATGTCATTGTGGCGTCGCAGGTGTTGCAGGTTGGCAAAAGCTGCTCTAACTTTCGCTATCCGTGATGTGATCTCCCCAACATCTCCAGCTGTGATCAGGCTGTCTCGGTACAGAAAGCTCTTGACTACTAGCTGGTCGCCATAGAGAGTGAGTACAGGCACGTGCTCCTGCTAGTCTTGTACAAGCACTTTGCACTAGAATGAGTTCAGTTCAGTTACAACCATTAACCATGCACTTTTGTTAGCCGATTTTGACTGCTGTCTTTTGGTTACCCATTTGGATAAAATAGCGGAATGAATTTTAGCAGATTCAAGCGGAAGATATCGAATTTATATAGACTGAAGTTACAAGAGAGTAGATGCATGAGCGCCACTGTTTGCGGCGCCCATCCATGTCGCTCAGTGTTTCTAACCATCGGTGACCATGATCTCGGGGTCCCCAGCCAGGGAGCCTAACGGGACCTTTTTGAGCCAGTCTCCTGCACTTGAATGATGCAGGGGACATATCTGGATACCTCTATCGCCAAGCGATTTCATGTAGATTGGACTGTTTGTGCATTGCCACCCGACAAAGCAATCTCATCGGCATATCCTGGCTCGAGAACTTTCCTCTGGGAGTAGTTCTACTCCATTGTTTGCTAGATCGGACAAAACGTTCTGTAGTACTTCCCTTATTTCAAAGTTGAAGTTACGAGACAGCCTTGACGCTCCCAACTGGGTACGGCAGAGGGTGGCGAAAGTTGGTCATGGGGCCTTACCCGACCCGAGGTACGACGATACAACTCTTTGAGGATCAATACACTTCATGTACTCCATTTAAAAAAGAACAGCCCTATAGTGCGGGTCTATCTGTGGGGTCGAAAACCGCGCAGATGTCTAAGAACGCAATCACCGTTGGTTTGTGGCAGGCATGACGGTGCTCTGGGAGCTGTCGAAAGGTGAAGGTTTAATCGATGCCTCAATGACGGGTGCGAAACAGTCTGCTCTTCGCCAGCATGCTCCTCACGCGTATTCAAATTTCAGGCATAAGCATGCGAGGTGTCTTGTTGAGGGTGTGTTCTGTCCTGGGACTGGCTCGTCTGCGAGGTGGTTTTGTTCCATTTTGTCCATTACG